ATGAACCCATAGAAATTCAGCTTCATGTTAGGTATTCCTCACCAGAACCGCCTGATAATTCTTGTAAGCCTATTTCTATTGTTATCCCCAATTTATTCCTTTGCACCATACTATTCAAAATAAAGGCTACAAAGATTTGAAGAAAATATCAGCATCAATGTATGAACAGCTAGCTGTCAGAAGGTCCCATAAACCAGGGGTGTCAAACTCAAGGCTGGATCCGGCCCGCAGGGTGCTTAGATCTGGCCTACAGGTACACCATGGAAACAGTGAAGGACTGGCCTGCGGTGCCTCTGCCAGCAAAAACTAAGCTTGCCAGGACCACTGGCAGAGGGTGGGAGGCCAGAGTTCAGGAGCCCATTCTGACCGGCAGAGAGCTTGGGCCACCACAGATGCCCCTAACATGAGTGACATTAAGCTGGCCACGCCCACCCCAGCCCCCAAGGTCAAACACAACCCTCATGCAGCCCTCAATGAAATCAAGTTTGACACCCTGGCATAAACTTTCATTTGGACCTTTGATGGTTTAGTAGCAAATTCCATGTTTGCTAGTTTCTTGTGTCAGGATTCCGGCAGATGCCCTAATTAAATCATGAGCCTCGAGCCAAGTTTCAAAAACGTCAAAGAATTTATTAGGAGTGAACATGTCGGCATGATCTGTATGAAGCCAATTCTGAGGCACATAATTCACTGTCACCCTTGACCCTGGTTTCCCCCATCCCTCTGCTTGTATCATAATTCATATTCTCCAACGAAACACATTCATAGCCAAGAGTCATCAATCCTGTTTTCCAATTAGAGATTTGCACAGCAGAAATTCTGGTAGCTTAGTTATAATCTTTGCAAGGTAAGAATGGAATGCACTTTCGGTTCCAAACTGCTGCACTGCTCTTTCACATCCCCACCCCCACTGTTCATGGCAACTTTAAAACAAGCATAGAAATGTTTTTTGAGTTGACATCTTGCTTTGGATAGTGGGATCCTTATCTCACTAATTCTTTAAAATGCCCTTATCAGATCATTATACTATGTTTGTATTTCAGATGTAATGGTGGGGAATGAGGCTGAGAGATCATAGATTGCCAAGACCATCAGTCCCAATTAAACTGAGACTGGATGTTTTATTCCAAAGAAACTGATTAATAAAAAAAGACATTTTTTAAAAGTGAGCTCATTTGAAAGATAAACTCTTTTTAATTGGTGGATATCTTCAACAAAATTGGATTCATTCTCATCTCCAACTATGAAAGGGGAGAGAAATTTAATTAACAAGCTTCTGTGATTTTAGCATAACTGGTCCAGGTCTCATGATAAAACCGTTATTTTAGCTGAAGGGCATGTATGACTAATAAATACATTGTAAATGAATGAAAAGTACATGCAAATATGTTGCAAATAAAACATCCATGCCCACATATTTCCACATGACTCTTCTTCCTTACTGAAACTGTCAAGAATACACTCTGAGACTATAGGGATTTTTAAGCTAAATGTTTCATTCAAGACATGGTTTTGTTACATCATAATTTAAATATGGTATCTTGTTCTACCACTTTGATTTTGAACCACTGAGAAAATTAATATTGTCTTTTAAAGAAGAAAGTTAAGTAGGCTGTACAGCATTAAGAAAGAAAGACATCACTTTGGATCATTTTCAGAGAAACAGCAAAGAAGCTATTCTCTGCTCATGAATAAGTGGTGTATTTGTACTTAATTCTTTATCAACCAAGATGGTCAATTTTTCTTTATCAGAAACTCTAACGGGTGTTAAACTCGCAACACATGACGTTTCGTGATAGTGTTTCCCTTCGGGGAGCTGGGGTGGGCATGGACTGCGCGTGAATGCATCTATCCCGCAGGCCACCAGTTTGACACCCCTGCTCTAGAGATTCTATGTATAAAATAGCAAAAATGTTAATGTATCAGATGCAACGAATTGGTGGCTTTATTATGAATCCCAATATACCTTTCATAGATGTTTAATGCCACATGATGGTGGAATAATTGTCAGGTATTCATTATCACAATTAAATCTTACTTAGCAATGTTTGAAGACAGACATTAAGTTTTATGTTTAAAGCAATTGTGGAAATGTACATATGTAGTAGGTATCCATCTTAAGTATCAGTAAGCTATCAAACCTCATTGAATGTGATTTTGAAATCAGAGTACTCATCTGCTAATCATACTCAGTGTCATGTGATTCCCACCCACAAGATCAGCAGTCAGGTTTTTACAGCTGACACTGCTATAGTATTTAACAGCTGGGCTGCACAAAACTTAGTACTCTGATAATGTTCAAGAGTACTTCAAGGAGATTTTTAAAAATCAAGCATATGATTATATTTTTGAATGCATAAGCATAAGCTGAACATCTTTTTGATGAAAGATAGCGCAATACTGCACAAGGTATAGTATATTCAACATTATATGAAATGCCATTCCCTATTGCATTATAGCTGTTCTTTGTAGATTAGATCAGTAACCATTCCAAATCAGGATAACGGTTATTCCAGTGATATACTGATGGCTTGAGACTACATTCTTTTGTAATGACTTTTCCATTTCTTTCCATTTTTGTAAGTCCAAAAGCCTGTGGGTGGTTTTCAAAGTGACTTATACAATATTTCCCAAACTTTCAAATAAAGCCATCCATGACCATACTGGTCAACCATTTAAAAAGAAGAAGAAAGAGAATAGTATTTGCTGACGTTTAGGCTAGATAATCCTTGTTCTTTTTTATCATTGTAAAGCTTTTTCTATCTTTCAAATGTCAAGACATAATGTGCCTGCCTCATATGGTTCTTGGGAGAACAGTGCATGTCCTATCTACGAAAAAGTAACAGATCATCTCTCAATTTCTAGAAACAACTCCACGCTCTAATTTGGGTATACGATAGATTTCACATCCCTTAATTCAGCAAGAGACCTTACCAGTTCTTTGGTGTTCTGCCAATGTAGGTATGTTTTCTGTTTACGTTAACTCCAGCCACATCACAGTGCTATTCCAAGTCTACTGAACTAGTATGGACTTTTAATATTAATAGAGCATGAATTTGGATTTACAACTTTCTTTTTGACCTATCACTGTGTTAGAAGGAAAAAATACCCCATCAATATTTAGACACATATAATAGGAAAGTCCAAGCCGAGACAGTGAATGTGTACTCAGTTCTAAGGCCCACTGCAATGCCTTCATAACTGTGTCCAAGTGATTCACAACTGTAGGGCTTTCTGTAATTCCTGAAGTTTCAACATAAATGGAGAAAAATAATTGATCAATGGGAATATATGTGCAAAATGCATAAAAATCAGGGTGGTACAGAGACTTCAGAATCTTTGACTAGGAATGCAGAGAATTCTTACACAGTAATAAAGAGATAAATTAAATGAGACAATTAATACAAATAAGTGAACAGAGGTTTAATTTGAAGTAAACATACAAAGGATTGTAGTTTCTTTTATTGCCACACCATTTACAATTAACTTATAAAGTTTAAATATTTTCATTACACATTGAATTATGCTATCGTAATTTGATAACTTAGAATTTGGAAAGAAAATTAAAATTTAAAAAAAGATGTTATACAGGTTTAGAACTATTACTTCCTTCAACACTTCTAACTGGATTTTTTTTCAAGAAATCTGTTATTTAAATATTTAAGGTCCCAGATAACAACATCATGGATATTTATTATATCCACTTATCTGAGCAGCTCAATGTTTATCACTAAAGCAGAGAACCACCTAACAATATTCCTCCTTTAAAACCAAACCAGCAAAAACTTGGCTAATTGAAGCCTAATGCTATTTAATTGTTAGATGTAGCACATGGTCTATCATTGCACAGCCACAATTGGTTATAGACACAAAGGAATGTAATGCTTCATATATTCTAAGTGACTCACTATAGATTACTATAACTAGTGGAATCGATTGAAGATTGAATATGAGGATTTTTTTCTCTTTCAATAATGAATGCTAAAAAGGGTCACTCTCATCTCATTAAAAGCTATTGACAGACATCACTTAAAAGCTTGCTTAATGTGAATACAACCTTTCCAGACTTTTTCTTACTACTTGCTGGCACGAACAGCTGTTAAGTGTTACAGATGCAATTTATAAAAGAGCAGGAGCCCACAAAATGTGAGTTTTGCAATAAATGTTGGTTATAGCTACCTCATTACTTTAAATCTTATATGAAGAAATCTACGGACTTCAAATGAGTATCTAGCATAATCTACAGTTTTATCCATATCTCATAAGAGAACAACAAAGCCAGCTTTTTTAATAAATAGAAGGAAATGAATTTCACTATGTAGATTAAATATTCCAGGGAGTTTTTCCCAAAAGGCCTTCTGCTGTTGCCCTTGCCCAATGCAAGATGCTAAGTCATCCTCCCAACAATAGTTGTCTATGAGCTTCAACAGGATGGAGTTTTAAGCACAGATATGCATGGCAATGGAAAGTGTCAACGTGCATTTTTTATTTTTAAATTGGTGTTATCACTTCCCACAATAAAGGATTGTGGTGTGTGTGTGACAGAGAGGGAGGGAGGGAAGACCTACTTTGCCAGAATTTGTTTTGTTTTTCAGACATCAACTCACCATGCAAAAATGAAAACTGGAAGACAAATATAATGCAGCACAGAAACATCTCTCAATGACCTATCAGCAATGTTTTCTTTTTCATCCCAGAAAGGGATGAAAAACATAGGAACTTCTAAATGCTTTACGGAAAGAAGAGGAGCCATCTTCTACCACCTAACGACCCCCTCCACTTCTGGAAGACAAGAGATCTCAATACGCTTCTACCTACCTTACTTCTGCCTACTTTTCTATTAGCAGCCCTTTAGAGCAAGCTGCAAGTCCCAGGGACCCGATTCCGCCACCTGTTCCTCTGCAACACGCCGCCCCCCACCACCACAGCAGTTACCGCTTTAGATCATCAGCACTGCAGCCCCATAAATCCTCCTCCTTTACACCAACACTTTACTCTACCTTTGTATTTCTCCAGCACATCTTCGTAAGCCTGCAAGTACTCCTGTTCCTCGGTGTAGGCGCGACCCCCAGGAGAAACAGAACCAGCCATGCTCGAAGTTTTGACCCAGCCTCGATCACAGGTCGCGCCGAGGCTCCGGGCCGCCTGGCAAGCCTTGGAGAGAGAGCGAGAGCCGGAGAGCGGCGCAAGGAGGCTGGAGGGAAGGAGGGGTCTACGGCGGAGCAAGCGGACCGAGGAAACGCCCAGGCGGGCTCCCTCCCCCGGCGGCGTGGGAGCACGTGTGAGCCGCCGATCGGGAACAGCCTTCCCTCCCTTCTCTCGGATTTCACGAGCTTTCGGCTCCGGGGTTTTTAGGAACGCAGGCGCGCCGGTCGAGGGGAAGGGTTCACGGATGCCACCGGCCGGCTTTGGAGGTGACCCTCCGGCTCGGGCTTTGCTCCCGCAATCCGTACGGCTCTGCCGCATTCGCTTTTCTCCCGGCTCTCTCGCTGCGCTGCAAAGCAAAGCAAAGCAAAGCGGGCGGCCTGGTGCGAGTCAATCGCAGCGCGCTTTTAATCCCCCCAAGTCAAGCCGCCTAAAGCCTCTGCTCCGAAGGGGCCACGCGAGGCAAAAGGCAGGGTTTCGTGAAACGTTTCGGCGGAACGCGGAGACCCTCGGTCCCGACAGGAAAGGGATTCGGCGGGGCTGTCGTGTTAAGGAGCGCCCTCCCTCCTCTTCCCTGATTGCCGGAATCGGGGCTTGAGTGTGGTTAAAGTGGGGGGTGGATGCATTAAGATTTATCCTCGCTGATGCACAATATATAGAAAGCTGGATCTGCGCCCAGCGTATGTACTCAGCGCCTCAACCTAGGAATACACCAATGAGGAGTGGAGTGCACTGCCAATCTTGAATTAACCGAACCTTTAACAGATAATCACAGTTGGAAGGGACCTTGTAGGCCATCTAGTCCAACCCCCTGCCCAAGTGGGAGACACTACACCATTTCTGACAAAAGGCCTTCGAATCTCCTCTTGAAAGCCTCAACTGATGGCACTCCCACAACTTCCGAGGGCAAGCTGTTCCATTCGTTGATTGTTTTCACTGTCAGAAAGTTTCTCCTTGTTTCCAGGTTAAATCTCTCCTTGTTCAGTTTCCTTCCATTATTCCTTGTTTGGCCTACAGGCACTTCAGAAAATAGCTTGACCTCTTCCTCCCTGTGGCAGCCCCTCTAATATTGGAAGACTGCTATCATGTCTCCCCAGGTCCTTCTCTTTACTAGACTAGCCAAGCCCAGTTCCTGCAACTGTTCATTGTATGTTTTAGCTTCCAGTCCCCTAATCATCCTGGTTGCTCTTCTCTGTACTATTTCTAGAGTCTCAACATCTTTTTCATAATGTGATGACCAAAACTGGATGCAGTATTCTAGGTGTGGTCTTACTAAGGCTTTATAGAGTGGTATTAGTACTTCCCTTGATCTTGATTGCATCCCTCTGTTAATACAATTTAGGATTGCATTAGCTTTTTTGGTGGCGGCTGCACACTGCTGGCTCATATTTAGCTGGTTGTCCACTAAGACTCCAAGATCCCTCTCACAGTTACTGCTATTGAGCCTGATTTCACTCAGTCTATATGTGTACTTTTGGTTTTTCTTGCCTAAGTGTACGACTTTACTTTTCTCTACATTGAATTTCATTTTGTTAGATATGGCCCAGTGTTCTAGTCTGTCAAGATCCATCTGGATCTTGAGCCTATCTTCTTGGGTGTTAGCTATTCCTGCCAGCTTAGTATCATCTGCAAATTTGGTAAGTTCCCCTTCTATTCCCTCATCTAAGTTGTTAATGAAGATATTGAAGAGTACTGGGCCTAAGACGGAACCTTGTGGCACCCCACTGCTTACTTCCCTCCATGTAGGCTTAGACCCATTAAGGACTACTGGTTGAGTACGGTTTGCCAGCCAGTTGCAAGTTCATCTTGTGGTGGTGCTATCTATTCCACTTTTTCTAGCTTACTAAGAAGTAGGTTGTGGTCTACTTTGTCCAATGCCTTGCTGAAATCTAAATATATTATGTCCACAGTATTTTGCTGGTCTACTAATTTAGTCAGTGTTGAAGAATGAAATAAGATTGGTTTGGCATGATCTGTTTTTAACAAACCCGTGCTGATTGCTAGTTATTACTTGACTTGTTTCTAGATGTTAGGCTACTTTAGCCCCGTTTTTCCTCTTATTTGGCCAAGACTTGTTTTCTTTTTTTCTGTTGCCTTTTGAAACAGCTGTCACTCACATACCAGACCCACCGCCAAGGGTTCCTCCTTTCCTCCACCCCCCCCCCCCCCACGGTTTGCAAATGCTCCCGAAGAGGGAAAGAAACCTGCCTCCCCGGGGATGGCCAAACGGGGCTTTTGTACTTTTAAGTGCACTTCAAAACGCACTTTCCACCGATCCTTTTCTCTGCTTAGCGGGAGGAGATCTCGCCTGAGGAGCTAGCGTTATTATTCCGCAGCCCTCCCTGCCTTCGGCTCCTTCCCCCCCCTCTTCTCGGTCTTTTCCGAGCGGTTGTTTTCGTTTTACCCGGGCACAGCGCCTCTATTGAGCGGCGAGCCGGCCGTCTCCTCCTCTCCTGTCCTCCACCCGGCCCCTTCTCGGATGCTCCGGACACCTCGTCGCAAGGCCAGGAATAACTCGGCGCGTGCCCCCTTCCCCTCCCCCCCCCCCCCCCCCCCCCCCCCCCCCCCGGGGGGCCCGCGGCGCGTGCCCCCCCCCCCCCCCCCCCCCCACCTCCACCCCCGTCTGGAGAGGAGGAGAATCGGTTTTGCCGATCCACCCACTTTGGCTGGCCATTACAACAACAACAACCCCCGCGCTAGAGCCGGGAATGGCGGAATGCCAAAAGGCGGAGCCAAAGTCCTGCAGGTGTCACCGCCGGTCACTGTTTCAGAATAACAGGCCTTATTCAGTAAGGACCACGCATGCGCTTACTTGCAGAGCAACCCGCCCCCCCTCCTGATCTCATATGCTTTCTAGACGGGTGGGGGGGTCTCCAACCTTGGTAACTTTAAAGCCTGGAGGACTTCAACTCCCAGAATTCCCCAGCCAGCTTCGCTGGGAGTTGAAGTCCTCCGGGCTTAAAGTTACCAAGGTTGGAGACCCCTGTCCTAAACTAAGCCGCCCCACCCCATCCCCCGTTGCATCTGATAATCCATAATCCACCTTCGCCCCGGCCACACTTGACCCTATTGCACCCACGCCACCATCAAGAGATCATCTCCGGCGCACAAGAACTCCGGAGAGCGATCCTGGTTATTATCTCTCCCCCCCCCCGCCCCGCCTTAATTTACTAGCCCGTGATTCCCAAAAATCTAACAGGCTGTGACTTTGCATCGCCCCATATTTTCTCGGAGCATCAACTACAACAGAGGACGCCTCGGGTTTCTTCCTTGCGCCGCTGTGGCCACCGCAAGCCAGCTCTGGCGGTCACCGGAACAGCAGGCTGGGAGTTTATCCCCCTCCTTTCCCTCCTCCTCCTGTTTCATCTCCGCCAGGGCAAGTTCCGGAAGTGATTTGCCAACCGCAGTCCCGGAGCCGATGGAAGGAACTCAGCGGGGACTGGGGACCGCGAGCAAAAATCCCTTTCTCACGCCCTTTCACTTTCCGAAGACGCGAAAGCCGCCGCTGGGGTGACCTTAATTTGCAAGCAAAGAAAGGCGGGTGGAAAAAGTCCACGCTCTCTTTTATAAACGCTGCAAAGCAGGGTCCGTTTCTCAGGAAGATACCAAGGCGATAAGGACTGACTGCTATGGGTTCTCGTTTTCGAAGGTCTCCCTGGGAAAAATAATTGACCACCACCGCGGGCAACGCTTCCTTCGCTCCCCTTTCTGGAGTTCCAGTCTTGCTGCTCGCTCTAGCAAGCTTCTGGAGTCTGGCTTTTAGGACGAATAAAAATAACTCCAAACTGGTTTCTTTGATATTGGGGCGCCCAGCCAGATCCTCTTCCTTTTATTCTTGGTTGGGGGCGGTCCGTGGTCCGACGGGGCGGTCGGAACCCATGGAAAATCCCTTCAAGCACAAGGCCAGTCGGACGAAGGAGGAGCTCCATTCAAACGCGCCCACACACCATCTAACAACCGAAAGCAATTCCCACAGCACAAATAGCACGAGCGTTTTGGGGGCGGGGGGTGCAGCCAAGTTTTCTGTATACACACATACACACACACACACACACACACACACACACACACACACACACACATTAGCCATCTAAGCTCGTTGCATCGGAGGATTTTCGCGATCTTCACTTCTAATGCACTGCGCGAAATTGACAAGGCTTGCATTTGCAGACGCTGCCGCCGTTCCGCGTCTAGCTCAAAACATCTTTATCCGCCCAGAAAACAGAAGAGCAGGCTAAAATAGCTTAGTCACCGGTCCCCAAAAGCAGAGCCCGCTGGACAGCGATCTTACATTGCTAAATCTCTCTGAACTCAAATGAAACTTAACTCGGATTCGGCATAGAATACATAGAAGTACACTATAAGCAAGCAATGATCCATCACTTTACATTCCTCCTGTGTAAATACACCAACGCCAATACACTAACCCCACCGTGCAATGGAAGTTAACCTCTTTTCGGCGTACCTCATCCTCTCCCCCCAATTTCTCTCTTACCGGCTATCCTGAGCACAGCTCTCTCAGCTGGATCCAGCACAGACCCTCCTTGAATTTTCCTCTTGGATCTCTCGTGTTTAGGTAGATTCCACGGTAGGGTGTCGCCCGGAGCCGGAGAGAGGGAGCCAGATTTTTGGCTGAAATCCTCATCATCATCGGAAAAATCCGCAGAGGAGGAAACGGAGCATCTGTAAGATACGTTTCCCGAGCTCTAAAGAATAGAGGAGGGAAAACGAGAACCGTAAGCATAGTAGCGACAAGCAACAACGGAAGAGAGTACATTTCCCTCCCCCCTTCAAGAACCGAGCGGTTTTCGCTGTTTAGATCGCCCTCGAGGAAAATCAAACCTGAAGCCGGACACTACCTACCCGACCGCTACTGACTTGGTAGGCTAACCCGGTGTTTTGTTTTGTTTTTTGAAAAGATCTGTGGACAAATGGCTCACCATTGTTGCTTACACGCTGCCGGGCTGGGCTTAAATCCCACAGCCTGCAACGGTGCGGAGAAACAGGCTCAGTGGAAATGCATCTGTGGGGAGGCAACCGGCACACA